ATGAGGCCACTTTTTTTTTGTTGGGTTAGGCCCTTTCGGTCGACAAGACCATTGCAGAGCCGGAAGGATGATAGGAATTAGGGGGAGACATTGGTCTGGGCAGGCACACTAGTGAGTCGCCGGGGCTGAGCCCGTCCAGAGGACAGGCCACCCAGCCCCAAGGCACTCACTGCACCCGGCTACGGGGTGCGCTCCCTCAGGAGCAGCGGTGCCGCTCCAAGGGAGCAGCCCGCATGAGATAAAGTTGCCTGTCCAGCCCGGAGGGGGGTTGCGGTGTGGAGGAGAAGGACTTCAGTATCCTGAGGATAGAAGCACGGAACGGTGAGGCCACTTTCTGGTCCCGGCCTTTTATTCTCCGGGTGGGTGCCCCGTCTAGCGCTTAGCCTTTCGGGACCCGCTCAGAGCCGCGGTTGTTTTCGCCGCTCGGCCCTTTCGAGATGCAAAGTTGATAGTCACACGAAGTTTATTTGGGGCCTCTGAAAATGCGAATTCGAAATTAATCGATTTTATAAAACATTTTTTCTTTCATCTACACGCATACATTTAACAGTATCTCCAGACTAAGCTGGTTTGGCTGGCCCTAAATAAGCTTCGTGTGACTATTAACTTTGCATCTCGACTAGGGCGAGCGGCGAAAACAACCGCGACCCTGAGTGGGTCCCGAAAGGCTAAACGCTGGACGGGGGTAATCCACCCGGAGAATAAAACGCCGGTACCAGAAAGCGGCCTCATTTCCAGCACTGGTTGGGAGCACCATCGGCCTAGCAAGAGCACCATAGGTCTGCGCCAGGGGCACCACAGACCTGCCAGGGGCCCCATCGACCTCACAGGGGCACTTTGGGCCTGTCAGGGGCACCACGGTCCTATCGGGGGCACCACAAGTTTTTAGGGGTACCACAGGCCTGCAGGAGCACCATCGGCCTAGCAAGAGCACCATAGGTCTGCCAGGGGCACCACAGACCTGCCAGGGGCCCTACCGGCCTCGCAGGAGCACCACATTGGGCCTGTCAGGGGTACCACCACAGACCCGCCAGGGGCACCACAGGCCTGCCAGAGGCACCACAGGCCTAGCAAGGGCACCACGGACCTGTCAGCGACACCACGGGCCTGTCGGGGGCACCTCAGGCTTGTCAGGGCCAAGGGACACCATCAGTCCTTTCAGGGGCACCTCAGGCCTGTCAGGGGCACCAGAGGCCTAGCAGGGACACCACATGCCTGACAGGGGCACCTGCGGCCTCGCAGGGACACCTTGGACCTGTTAGTGGCACCACATGCATGTCGGGGACACTCCAGGCTTGTCAGGAGAACTACAGTCCTGTCAGGGCCCAGGGGCACCAGCGGCCTAGCAGAGGCACCATCGGCCTAGCAGGGACACCACCGGCCTCGCAAGGGCATCATGGGCCTGTCAGGGGCACCATGGGCCTGTCGTTAGAACCTCAGGTTTGTCAGGGGCACCACAGTTCTTTCAGATGCACTGGCGGCCTAGCACCATAGCACCATGTTTGGCCGGGATCGCGATTCGGCGTATGTCGCCTCGCATTAGCCGCGCGTTTGCAGTCTTTTCGTGGTTTCAAACGTTCAAACATGGGATATGATGTTGCTCCCATGCATTAGGGTGGGTGTCAAGGTCACCGGAAGGTCAGGTCAGGTCATTTACCTTTGATGACCTCGGTTCACATTTTCGAGTTTTATACGTTTCTAGGCTAGTTTTTTAGCTGAATTCGAATTTAGCAACCATTTGACCGTTTACGAAGTAGTTTTGGTGCCTTCGTAACATGTTACGAAACTGTCAGAGGCGGTTGCCACCTACTACGAATACCCGGCAAAACGCTTACTGGTTGACCTGACCTGAGCCTGACCTGACCCGACCTGGCCTGAATGCATGAAGACATCATCTATGATCATAACTAAGTACTAACATGATATTCGTGATCAGCTCCCCGAAAAAAAAAACATGGCACCCACCCTTTACGACGCTCTAACAGGTTACGATTTTCCCGACGTTTGGGTCATTGACCTGACCTGGAAGGTCAACCGATGACCTAGGACCTTAAAATTGGGTATCATCGGCTTACTGTCATCACGGGCAGCACGGTCGTTTTTTCCGCGAAGCTCTGGCTCGATCAGGGGCGAAACGGCAAGGGGGAGGGTCCAACGGACCCCCCATACCTATACGTTCGCAGCTGGAAAACACCAATACGGGCGAGGGTTAATGGATTATTAAAGACAATTTTCCAGGTTGCCCCCCCCAGTCAAATTCCCTTAAAATAGGCTCTGAGGACAGATGTGCCGTGCTTAAACTTCTTGATCATCTTTTTGTCTCTGGATAATTACACATAAACCCAGCATTCGTCACAACTCATCAACTGATCGAAGATGTCTTCAATTTCCTAAAAAAGGCCTAGTTTTTATTTCGAAAGGCCAAGACGCATTTTTCTCTTGAACAAAGTAGACACACGAACTTCTAAGCGGCCTGACTCCTTTATCGTCTGTAGTTCTTCGCTGATAATATTTTCAGGCACTGCCAGCATTGAGACCTTTCTGTTGCATAATCATCTGAAAGGTCACACGACGATATGTAAGGGTGAGGTCCTCCACTTCCTTCACAGTCACCACCTTGTCAGTCATTGGTAGTCACTCACTTTTTGACTTCCCTGCAAGGGCCATGCAACCAAGTTGAAAATTATTTCTTCATTTTCGGTAAGTGCATGAGATGGGCTTTCCCCGCCATAAACTAATTTCACGTTCTTGATGCATTTTCTCAGTGTGATACCGTTTCAAATGCATTAGTTGGATGACGGTTCGGTCCTCAATGGGCCCAACACTAATCTTTTTTACTTCTAAGTCTCTCCTACATTATATAATACTGAACGAGGCCGGTGTAAATAAATTTTCAAGACCGAGGTCCTTACTGGATTTTTGAACGAGGCCGAAGGCCGAGTTCAAAAATCAGTAAGGACTGAGGTCTTGAAAATTTATCACCGGCCGAGTTTGGTATGTATTTTACTGTATGCCAACGATAAATTTATTTTCTGGACCGAAGCTCTTAGCCGACTTAGGAACGAGACCATTCCAAAATGTTGGCTTAAGTGCATTCTGGTAATGCATTTTTGACCGTGGTCAACTTGCTTACACCAGTTATTACCACACCCCTCTGGCTAATGTATTTGAATAGGCCAGGCATACAGTAAAAGATAAAACCACTTCTCAGGATTCTCTTTGCCGGAACATTGTTCTTAAGAACCAAATATCACACCAACCAAAAATCGGTCTATATCTTCTATGTGATGATCAGAACTTTTCGATACCCCCTCGTAAAAAAAACTGCGTCCTCGCCAGGGTCTGCAGTGTTGGACTTCAGCCCGGTACCGTTTTGGAGCACGCAATACACACACATTTCGTAATGTAAAATGTGTATGCTGAGTTTGGTTATACGGTAGTCGGCAGCAGTACAAGACAGCAACACATGTAGGTAAACCATCCAGCATGTGTATCAAATCTTCACATTTCACCCATCCCACGTGCTAACATCTCACAGCACACGCGACACACAGTTGAAATTAGGGCATTTTGCAACTCGCATGTTCATTTAATCGTATCGCGACCTACCTTAAATCACAGAAATCAGATAAAGATACCGGAACAAATTACCGGTGGCAGGTGATGCAGGTCGGACATACTTTATAGCATGCTATCAATATCAATCAGTCGCAAATCAAGATAGCATCAGCCGTCGTTATAAGACAAGTCGTACCTAACAGTAAGGTATTGTTACCAAACCAACCAGTTGAGAGCCAACGCTTCCAGTCTTGGACTGGACCGCCGATAGGCTAGTTAATACAACAATCTTCTCGGTGACGAAAGTTCAGTAGGCGCGAGTTCCTGGAACAGTTGAGCAAGCCAGTAGGTCATTTAGTGGACTTGAGTAATGTAGTTCGGTGTCAGCTCTGTAGCTAGGCGGGTACGCGGGCGCGGTACCTCCCCCGGTAGGTGGACTACGGAGCCGCAGCGCAAGCAGTCAACGACCTCCCGTCGTGCGCCGTCTGCTCGTGCAGATGAACGCCTCACGCGACACCACCTACTGCCACCGCTTCCAGGTGACCGGCGAGGCAGTACCTGCCGCGCCGGTGTCCCTACTATCGCAAATTGACGAATACCTATTACAAAACGATAGCCCTAGTTTTGTCTGTTCTTAAAATAATAAAAGCGCGATGATAATACAGCACGGTATAGCCACAATCGAATTCACAATATGAAAGCCCGCTTATATGATGACTCACACGATGGGAAAGTCACTGTAAGGTCGTCCCGCGTATGAATGAACTAACACTCATTTCACCGTGAACATCCGTAAAGCAGAGCGTGATCGTCACTAGTCAGCCGCCCACCCTGCCACCATCCCTCTGCGGGGCTCCTTTTCAGTAACTGGCGCGTGCACACTTAACTGTACAGTGTACAGTCTGTCTTAAAAGTACCGCGCAAAGTGACGGTGGATCCATCAAGCCTGACCGAGGAAGGGCCTGCTATAATTTGAAAGTCACCGAACCAATGGAGCTGGGGAATGGACGAGGATGTCCATTGCTTCGGTGACTCAAATTTGGCAGTCCTTCATCGGTCAGGCTTGATGGATCCACCGTCACTTTGCGCGGTACTTTTAAGACAGACTGTACAGTGTACAGTCTGTCTTAAAAATACCGTGCAAAGTGACGGTGGATCCATCAAGCCTGACCGAGGAAGGGCCTGCTATAATGTGAAAGTCACCGAAGCAATTGACCTGGGGACTGTACAGTCTGTCTTAAAAGTACCGCGCAAAGTGACGGTGGATCCATCGAGCCTGACTGAGGAAGGGCCTGCTTAATTTGGGTCACCGAAGCAATTGACATCCTCGTCCATTCCCTAGGTCAGTTGGTCGGTGACTTTCAAATTAAAGCAGGCCCTTTCTCCGTCAGGCTTGATGGATCCACCGTCACTTTGCGCGGTACTTTTAAGACAGACTGTACAACAGTGGACCCAACCCTGTCAGCTGCTGGCACCCTCTGCAGGGATCCCTCCCAGTAGCCGTCGCGTCTCCTGAAGCCCAGTGGCGATCTCTGTATTTTCAGGCTCCAAGGACTGCGCCAGCATCAGGTCGCGTTCTGCCTCCTGGAAATAGCCTGTGGGCACACAGCGAGAGGCGTGTAAATATTCCTTTCTGTCTCAGCGGGGTGCATGACAAAAATTCACACTCATGTGGCATTATACAGTTGCAAAAGATCGACCCTAGGCGGAAGAATGTCACCATACCATCGACAATTAGTATGTGGAACGCTGATCATCACTGATGATAAATCTTGTAGGAGCCCCGTCTAGCGCCACTCACCCATCCTGTAGCGGACGATGGCGCGATTGTGCGCGGCCGCGGCTAGTCTCGGCCAGGCGTCCAGCGCAGCGCGGTACTCTTCAGCCGCCTCGTCAAACCTCACCTGGCCATACAACAACAGCCCGAGCCGGTTATGGAGCCGCGCCCGCCGCTCGGCTGGCCAGTGACCTGCCGAAGACAGCTGCTGCCGACAGGAGCGCTCCAGCTCCAGCAGCTCCGCGGCTCCCACCGAGAGATCGGGATCCGTGTCCAGGTCCACGACCGGGACCGGATCCGCAGCCGGAGCCAGGCTCTGTTTCGGGTCGGGATCCGCGGTTACTTTTGGCGTTGCGTGTTCTTTAGATGCGATGTTGGTATTGGAAGCCATGAGAACCTGCGGGAAAGGAGGCCAGAGTAGCGAGCACGATAAACATGGGTGAAGTTCGACGGCGATTCTACCATCACCTTGGCTTATGGCTGAGACGCCAATGGCCCGAAATTAAAAGAAGGCTCGTGACAGCGCCTCACACTTTAGAGGAAGGTTTAGGCACCTAGGCAACCCTGCATTACCTCTTGAATAATGTTTTCGCCACATCCCAACCGGCTAGTAAGCAGTAAGGTCATTAGGGGACGGGACGAAAAACGCATGCGAGGGCGAGGGCGGTACGACGTTGACAATTGACGTAATGCAATTACTAGTCGCTTGAAGCTTGAACTCACCGGTCACCCTTCACCAGTAATGCGTGAATTAAGAGAAAACGGAACCCTTTGCGAGGCTGGATAGAGCGGTGCGTTCGAGGGCCTTGGCGAGGTTACAGTCGATCACGTGGGCGAGGTCATCGGTCACTCGTACCCCGAGGTCAGGTGAGGTTACACTCTTTACACTGTAGACTGCGGCGGTAAACAAGTGACAAGCAAAATGCAAACAAACGAAGGTACCACCAGAGTAGCAAAAAATTGACGTCATAAAATTGAATTAGTTTTCTGCATGGGTATTTGATTACAAAATGATTTTAAAGTCAGGTGCTTGATGATATCAGCTATTAAGTCACAGTACGTTTTTCTAATCGATGGCTCTTTCGCCAAAAGTGCAGAAAATTGCACAGTAATAGCCGCTAGCAAGAGGCATATTGCATCGGTATTATTACGTCACCTTTTTTTTCCGTTTATTTAGAAGCCAAACAACTGAGGACGAACGCATCTCATAACAAAACACAGGAAACGATGAGCACATAAACTGTTTCCCGAGTGGGGATGGACAGGGTCAGTGTCCCACTGTACCTAGCACTGTACATATTAGCACTGTTTGTTGTCATGGCATTTTTAGAGCACACATACAGAGTTCACACGTTTTGTCGTCGCTCGCTAGTCGCCAGCCAACACAGCGGACGAGCACAGGGCGACCGCGCCGGCGGCAGCAGCAGCGACAGGGCCGCCGCGGGCAGCCGACGCGGAGGACCGGGCGGGCAGAGAACGGAGGGCGGGCGAATCCGGACCAGACGGCCGGCGCAGCCAGCGCCCCACCCCCGGTGCGCGCCGGAGCGCTGTTCGGCAGCCGGCTATTTTGTGTGCAGGGTATGACGTATTTCGCGAGCCGACGTCACAGGCGGTGACGTCGGCTCGCGCGCGAGCCGAGCGCCAAAGACAAACTAACGGGAACCCTCGGACACCCTCGGGGCATAAACCGCGGAGTAGGATATTGAGCGAGTCTTATAAAGAAAATTCATATATTTTCGTTTCTCAAATGATAATCAGGGTGTCTCTTACCTTTTTACATATGATTTAGGCTTACCTAACACTTCAGTTGCCAAATATCTGCAATTTATTCAAGCGAAGGTATTTTCAGTAAATGTCAATGGTACAGACCGAAATCTTTTTAATAAAAACTCCAACCAACAGAAATAAAAATAACTTAATTTATTCCAACCATTTCCTCCAAATAAACAACATAAAAACTCACTTTTACACACATCATTCATAATAAAGCATACTAACACGCTACTTTTGACAATTGCGGCGTCGAGTGGCGCGCTGCTAGCGCTCTTTTTCGATCGCAGAGACCCTGCACGCGCGCGAGCACACTACGTCACGTCCGGGGGGCACAGGTATATGAAAAATCGCAGTGACGTAACACTTTTCTCGCTTCTCATTGGTCAATAGCCCGTTGCCGGGGTAACGTGCACGTATGTGAGCGCGGGCAAGAGTACTAGCCGGCCGCCGATCAGGGCTCGGGAGAACAATGGACTCAGTTGTCAAGGAACAAGGATTCGAAATGGGTTGTGAATTATCTATTTCTCTTGATATGTTTGCAAGCCTGCCCCATTTAAGGACATGTGACTGCATTGAGTTTGATTTCAACGCGTAACGCTCTTCATTTGATGCTTCAATTTTGACTAAGGATAAAAAGTGCTGAAGGTGTGGAATACTTGAGTTATATTTTGCTTTGAATATTACTAACTTCGCTATTGTAGATATTAGCGTGCCTAAGGATCCTAACATAGATACACGTGGAAAAACCCATGACTGATTTGTAAATCTAAACGACAACTCATACTTGTGCTTTAAATGGTCGATGATCTCTTTTACATATTTTTGCGTCACATCGCATTCCCATACAAGATGAATTAGTGTTTCGTCGTTTAAATTACAAAAGGAACAAAGTGTGCTTTCAGCTATTCCTATCCGATGTAGGAAAGTATTTGTTGCCATTATCCTAGATGTAAAGCGATAATGAAATGATTGTAAATAAGTACTGCGTGTTGATTGACGGACATCGTCCAGTGTCTCTTCATGTATTTGAACATCTCTTATCCATTTACGTTTGACTGAGCTTTGAATATTGCTCGGTTTACTTTTAAGTTTGGCTATTAATACTTTATATACTTCGTGTGATATCTTACGAGTTTTCCCTAATAAAGTTAATTTGAAAGGCATAATTGGGAGTGCTACGTTTTTTACCTCTTGAGCGGCTATCGAAAGCGCTGAGATGTTTCTTACAAGAGAGGCATGACATAAAAATGTCATTTTTACGTTAAACAGCTCACATAATTCGCTCCTACCACGCAACGCTCCCGTCTCTTTATTGAATAGGTCAACCAAAAAACGTAGGCCTTTTTCATCCCAGGACTTCACTATAGATTTCCTGAATTTCGTGTGGTCGGAGAACCACAGAGGCTCTGTCAGAAGCTCGGAAGGGGCGAGATGCACTGAGGCACAGAACGAAACCCATGCGTTTAATACGTCTTTTTGTCTTTTTGTGCTTTGAAGTCTGGGTGACTGGCTGGCTGCTGGTGCAGCACTGGAAGTCACAAATAAAATTATTTGTTTAACCTGGCAACCAACAGTGACTGTCATATAGTGCCCAATGGATTGGAGACTGCGGTCTGGTCAGATGCCAGAGACTTAGTTCAGCACATTGGCATGGCTGGACCCACACCACACAGCTCTGAAATACTCACTCCCCTGCCTGTGATATGCACAATATTGCAGAAAATCCACACTGACTGATCAGGCGTGCAGCTAGTGGCATGAGGCGTCACCACAAGGGCAGGGGTGAGGGGGGAGGGGGGGTCAGTGTGGCTGTTCTTTTCTCCTAGTTCAATCATGATCCTATTCTCACCTCCATGCCGTTTCCTCCCTAGCACCTTTTGAGGTGCAACATGGTGGCCTTTGATGATCCTACATTAGTGTCAGTGAGAGCCACGTCTATTTGGCACTTGACCTTGCCCAGCTGAGACTCGGGATCCTATGCCAGGTCTGATTCGACCCCAGCTGACCCAATATGACTCTTTTAAGGCCCAACGCCATTCAAAAGGTTGATCCCAGTGAGACCCAGTCACCCATAGCGGCGTTTAATGACCCCACGTCTGTCTGAGTTAGGTTCACATTCCGTTTGGGTGAGCGTTTAGTTTATTTCCTTTCCTGAACAAGTAGCATCTCGGTCGTTATGAGCTGGCAGGGCGTCGTGGTGGTTTTTGATGACTCTGGACTCCTGCGACTACCCGCAATGTCCCGAGCGGACAGGGGAACTCGAGGCCTGCCATGCTGCTATATCTGGATATGCTACGATGTCTGGTTACGCTACGATGTCTAGTTACGCTACGATGTCTGGCTACGCTACGATGTCTGGTTAGGCTACGAGATCTGGTTAGGCTACGATGTGTGGTTACGCTACGATATCTGGTTAGCATTTGCTTTGATTTTGCCAATGCGTCCATTCAATAGGTACATTGAACTACCTATTTTTTAAAATAAAAATAAGGGAGCTGGAATTTGTATTACACCTTAGTCCTCTTTATCAGTGTCTTTCTGTTTTATTTTCAGATGAGTCACCTGTAGACAGAACAGCTCAGCGATTTTAAGCCAATCATGGCTAGTTTGCTGGAGCAATATGCTCAGTCGAGCCAGGCGGCCGGGCCCCGGTCGGTCCCAGCAGGGGTAAGTTGTACAGAACCTCGCGGAACGGACTTTGAACACAAGATAACATCCGAACATTGACTGGAGATTAAAAGTTCATTTACCCGGCAGAGTAACATTGTTAATGTGCTACCAGCATGGTATTGACTGCTTAGTGCATGCCTCTGGACCTACTTGTCTATTTGCTGGAGTGTTTTCTTTCACGAGTTGGCTGTCAGGCGAGTTTGTTGACATCTGTGATAACGCATGAGCTAACGCACTTGTTTATCTTATCAGTAGCGATTGCGCCTCGTCCGAACTGCCTTCTTTTGTACGGATATGAAGTATGAACCCTACCGCTGGTCTGGTATCCGTGATACCCTTTTCTGACTGTCTCTTCGAACATACTAGTATCATTCAATGATGGATAAAAGCAGTCATTCTGTTTACTCTGTTGACTGTAAAACAGTTTCAATTTGTGACCAGTATGATCAAGAAATTGTTTATTGCTCATTATGGCTTTCACCCAAATGTCTAGAAAAGGAATGCTTGCCTCACCCATCCTGAGCTTTCTGAGCTGATCTGAGGTCAGTTTTACCAACAGAAAAATAGCCGCCGGCCGGATTTTTTTTTTTTACTAAAGACCACTTCACATACGGAGCGTAAACGCGATGGGCACGTAAGCGAATAGGACTTTACCGTTTACGCTCCGTATGTGAAGCGGTCTTAATGAAAAATTCCGGCAGGCGGCTATTTTTCTGTTGGTAAAACTGGCCTCTGAACAATGAGCTCAGCGCCGCCTCACTGCCTTCTCCCCACACCCGTCGTCCGCAGGCGTCGGCCAGCGTCGTGCAGCCCATCTTCACGAAGCAGAAGGTGAACTTCCAGCCGACGTCTCCCATCACCCATCTGGTGGTGGCGAACCATCAGCTGGTGGTGGCGCTGGCCAACAAAACTCTGCTGAGAATCGACCTGATGCAACCCGATCAGCCGCATGGTATGGAGAGAGGAGGAGGGGAGAGAGAGGGAGGGAGTAGCTACAGCCCGATCAGCCGCATGGTAAGGGAGAGAGGGAGGAGATGGGAGAGGGGGAGGGTTAGTTTGGGGCTCTGTGATGGTGGGACGACCAGCCGCACGAGACGGATGCTGGAATAAGGGGAGAGTGACTGGGCCGCGGATTGTGTGTGTTTGGTTTGGTTTGGTCCAGCCATGCGGCACGAGGGTTGTACCTCGATCCGTCCGACCACCACCTACGCAACTGACCTGACCTGACCTAACCTCCGCTCCCTCAGAGGTGGACCTATCTAAGGAGACCGCCAGCTGCCGTATTGACCTGACCTGACCTGACCTGACCTGACGTACCCTCCCCTCCCTCAGAGGTGGATCTATCCAAGGAGACAGCCGGCTGCTGTATGGGCCTCCGCTGACCTGACCTTCCCTCCCCCTCCCCCAGAGGTGGATCTATCCAAGGAGACTGCCGGCTGTCGTGTTCAGCAGCTGACCCTACCTCGACTCCCTCCCTCCTCTGACCTGACCTGACCTGACCTGACATGACCTTCGCTCCTCCCCTCCCTCAGAGGTGGATCTATCCAAGGAGACGGCCGGCTGTCGTGTTCAGCAGCTGTACCTGGACCCGTCCGGCCACCATCTACTGGTGGCGGCGGCGCCGCGCGACGGAGACCTGACCGGCGCACAGCTCCTCTACCTACCCGGCAGGGCGGTCAGGGCCAGACAGGTACGGACAAACAACAGACAGGGCCAGACAGGTACGGACAGACAACAGACAGAGCCAGACAGGTACGGACAGACAACAGACAGAGCCAGACAGGTACGGACAGACAACAGACAGAGCCAGACAGGTACGGACAGACAACAGACAGAGCCAGACAGGTACGGACAGACAACAGACAGAGCCAGACAGGTAATCAGACAGACAACAGACAGGGCCAGACAGGTACGGACAGACAACAGACAGAGCCAGACAGGTACGGACAGACAACAGACAGAGCCAGACAGGTACGGACAGACAACAGACAGAGCCAGACAGGTACGGACAGACAACAGACAGAGCCAGACAGGACCAGACAGACGGAGATCTGACCGGCGCGCAGCTCCTCTACCTACCCGGCAGGGCGGTCAGGGCCAGACAGGTACGGTCAGACAACAGACAGGGCCAGACAGGTATGGAGAGCACATAGGACAGTCAGGGCCAGACAGGTAATCAGACAGACAACAGACAGAGTCAGACAGGTACGGTCAGACAACAGACAGAGCCAGACAGGTACGGACAGACAACAGACAGAGCCAGACAGGTACGGACAGACAACAGACAGAGCCAGACAGGTACGGACAGACAACAGACAGAGCCAGACAGGACCAGACAGACGGAGATCTGACCGGCGCGCAGCTCCTCTACCTACCCGGCAGGGCGGTCAGGGCCAGACAGGTAACCAGACAACAGACAGAGCCAGACAGGACCAGACAGACGGAGATCTGACCGGCGCGCAGCTCCTCTACCTAGCCGGCAGGGCGGTCAGGGCCAGACAGGTACGGTCAGACAACAGACAGGGCCAGACAGGTACGGACAGACAACAGACAGAGCCAGACAGGACCAGACAGACGGAGATCTGACCGGCGCGCAGCTCCTCTACCTACCCGGCAGGGCGGTCAGGGCCAGACAGGTACGGTCATGCTGCACATAGGACAGTCAGACAGTAGAGAGGGTGGTCAGGGCCAGACAGGTAATCAGACAGCACATAGGACTGTCAGACAACAGACAGGACGGTCAGAGCCAGACAGGTACGGACAGACAGGTAATTAGACAACAGACGGACAGACAGACAGACAGATAACTGGGCAACAGACAGGGCGGTCAGAGCCAGACAGGTAATTAGACAACAGTGATCAGGCCGCGGACAGAACCAGATTAAGGTAATTAGACAGCAGTCAGGACTCAGGGCGGTCAGAGTCAGACAGTACGGATAACAGACAGCAGACGGTGCGGGGTGGTCAGAGCCAGGCAGGCAATCTGACAGGGTGGTCTGGGTCAGAATCAGGAACAGGGAAGGCCAGAATAGGCATATCTGATAATGTCATACAGGAAGAGCCAGAACAATATACCAATGAATGATGTAAACATTGGCTCTGCGATAAACAGTGAGTGTGACAGTGTGAAATGAGGATACCTGACCTCAGTAATATTCATTATTTCCTATCCTGTTTAGCCCTTTCCCGGAGATGCGACCTTGACCACCCAACTCCAGCTCAGTAACCCCTTTGACCTCTCTGTGACCTCAGGTGGGTCAGCTGCGCGGTCAGCTGATCACAGCCGTTGGATGACCCCTGTGTGACCTCTATGTGACCCCTGTGACCTCTGTATGACCCCTGTGACCTCTGTATGACCCCTATGACCTCAGGTGGGTCAGCTGCGCGGTCAGCTGATCACAGCCGTTGGATGACCTCTGTGTAACCTCTATGTAACCCCTGTGACCTCTCTGTGACCTCAGGCGGGTCAGCCGCGCGGTCAGCTGATCACAGACGTCGGATGACCTCTTTGTGACCTCTATGTAACCCTCGTGACCTCAGGTGGGTCAGCTGCGCGGTCAGCTGATTACGGCCGTTGGATGGAGCCACACTCTGGCCACCCCGGCCACCACTGGACCGCTGCTGGCGGGGAACTCTCAGGGAGTCGTCACTGAACTGGAGCTCACCGCCGACGAGAGGAGGTTCTCGCGACTGGAGGTCTACAATAAACAGGTATCAAGCGCGCGGTTAAGGAAAGTGGTCGTCATTTCATATACGATGAGTGTGGAATAGTTATGCAACTTATGTCTGAAATGCAGTCATGCATATATAATCATGTTGTGTGGGTCAGAAGACACTTCTGGGGCGAGTGAAACTGTCCGCCATTTATGCCCGTATAGGTACGTCAAGGGTATTTAGCTGTGTCCGCCAGCCGTGTGCCTGGCTCCGTCTTATCTCTGCACGTCTCGGGCTCTGTAGTTTAGTCCCCCCAGCTGACCCTCTGGCCATTCCTTTTATCTCTACCTACCATGTCCCAAAGTATGCCCAAAGCGTAGACGTGTTGTGTAACTTATGTAAGTGTCCCCCCTCCCTTTGACTGTCTACTCTATCTCTTCACCTGTCAGGTCCTGGAGCTAGTGAGTCCGTCGGTCTGTGCGTCTGACTGTCTGACTGTTTATCTCTGTACCTCTCAGGTCCTGGAGCTCAGCCCTCCGGCCTCTGTGACCGGATTAGAGTACCACCGGGTACCCGACTCGGACTGGTACCTGGCTGACTGCTCTGTCTGACTGTCGTTCACTGACTCCTGCCTGCCCTGCTGTGTCTCAGGCGCTGGAGCTGAGTCCGCCAATCTGTCTGACTCTCTGCTATCTGCTGTCTGTTGTGTCTGACTCGCTGTTGTCTGTTCTAACTCACAGGTCCCGGAGCTAACTCCACCAGCCTCCGTGACCGGATTAGAGTACCACCGAGTACCCGACACGGACCGGTACCTGGCGCTGGTTCTGTCTAACTGCTTCTGTCTGCTGTCTTACAACTGTCCATTCACTGTCTGCTCCCTGCTCTGCTGTGTCTCAGGTCCTGGAGCTCAGCCCTCCGGCCTCTGTGACCGGCTTGGAGTACCACCGGGTACCCGACACGGACCGGTACCTGGCGCTGGTTCTGTCTAGCTGCTTCTGTCTGCTGTCTTATAACTGTCCATTCACTGTCTGTTCCCTGCTCTGCTGTGTTTCAGGTGTTGGAGCTCAGCCCTCCAGCCTCGGTAACCGGTCTGGAGTACCACCGGGTACCCGACACGGACCGGTACCTGGCGCTGGTGGCCACTGCCGGACGACTGTACCAGTACACCGGTACCGTACCGGCCCACGACGCGCGGCCGCTGCTGACGCCGCTCTTCGCCGTTCAGGGTACGGAGTGACGAGTTTAGGGTATGCCGGGTATATTCAATACCTTATGGAGAGATGAGTTCCGAAAAACGAGTACACTTGTGTGCAGTGTTGCCTGTGGTTTTTTGGGTGCAATGTACTGAGTAGCTAGACTGAAGGTTGGTTCACGAACGACGTGAACTGTGTAAAATCTCCCATTCCAAACACTGTGCAAAGCGTGACTACTGGGTCGATTCTCCCAGCCTGTCAGCTCAAATGCTCACTGTCTGAACAGGCTATTATTTATTGCTACATGTCGCATGTGCCCTAACCCAGTTCTGCCATATGCCGAGCGTTGCTACCTTACCTTGTTGTTTCAGCCCTGTCTCGTCTCACTCACTCTGTCCCTTCTCTTCCCCTTTTCCCACAGAGCGTTTTCTGGAGATTCCCAGCTCTCTGTCGTTCTCTCGGCTGGCGTTCTTCTACCCGCGGCCCGGCGCGCCGCCGGAGCGGTTCGCCTGGCTCACTGAACCTGGAGTGCTGGTCGGACGGGTGAGTATCCGAAGGTTGGGACTTTTCAATTAAGAACAATCACTATTCTTTAGAATTGTGATTTTCTATTGAAAATCCCAACCTGAGCTACCTCTCTAGGGGGGTGTTTAGTACTGCGAAACACTCGATCCAGTGCAGTTCGTAATATACAGCTACAGGGGTTCATCTTTGTGAAGCTGCGTATAAACGGTACCCTGGCCCAGCCAGTCTTTAATTTCTCAGATCCGAACATTTCACTCGCAGAGTTGGACATTGGCCTGTGATTTGTGACCTAATATGACTTCCATAAATTCGTTGACTTCGACTGGCCGTAAACAACAACACACTATGACTACTAGGCTCTGAATATGGCCTATTGGCCACTGCCTTCGTATCCTCAGTATTTAAGAGTATGGACCCAGAGTCTGAAATAAAGCTTATCTATCTATCTATCTATCTATCTATCTATCTATCTATCTATCTATCTATCTATCTATCTATCTATCTATCTATCTACCACATTCGTATATGATCAGTGACTACTGACCTCTGACTCGACCTGGCCAAGTCTAACCTCCGACCCTCATATTCTGCCTCTCAGGTGGACACGGATGGCACAGACGGTCTAGTAACCGACACTCACCTCCTGGCTCACGACACAAACGGAGCAGGAGCCGCCGGAGCCACCGGAGCCGGAGGCGGAGCCGGAGCGGGGGGCGGACAGCAGCGACACGCGCCACGTGCCCTGGCGCTCACAGAGTTCCACGTGCTGCTACTGCAGCCGGCACGTGTGCGCGCCACGTGTGTGCTCGACCAGCGACACGTGTTTGAAGACCTGGCCAGTGAGGTTAGTGGCGAGTCGATGGGAGAAGGGAGAAGGCGATGGCGATTTCCGTTGGGGATAGGATCCCTCTGCGCACTAGAAAACGACAAGCGCGGAGCGTCGAATTATATCGCAATTTTATGTTTTGATCACCAAAGGTTAGCACTCATAATGGTAAATGCAGATTAAAGACAGAATATGCGTAGGTATCTTGTTATTGGATCCCTTCAGGAGCCGGCGCCAGGTATGTTGACCGCTACAGCTGACGCTACAGCTACAGCTACAGCTGATGTCGGGACCTTCTGCTCCAATCTCATGGCCCCCTTTTATCTGTTCTGATCCATCTCTAAGGCTCACGACCCTTACTGACATTTTTGGACCCCTCTCTGCAGGCTCACGGTCCTCTGCTGACCATCTGCCGTGACCCGATACACGGCACCCTATGGAGCGCCGCCGAGAGGGCCGTCTACAAATACAAGGTGGTGGATGAGACCAGGGATGTCTGGCAGGTAAGGAGAGGACTGGTGAATAGCACATGCGAGGGACGAGGGAGGGTCGATGATGAGAGGCTTCATTTCCTCCTGGATGGAGGGAAGGAGGGAAAGAGGGAGGAAGTGAAGTTACTGACTCTTGTTCTCTTTCTCTTGCGGCTTGCGCTCTTTCTCTTGCACTCTTTCGCGGTCGTCTACCTCTCCATCTCTTTCACTGCATATTAATGCATATCTCATTATATGTGATCCATGAATACGATTATTCACTAACTACCTAGTGTTATGCTGTTCTGAGATTTGTGTGTGTGTGTTGTCTTTCCAGGGGTAGCTGATAATGTTTTATTTGTGCTGTGTGTTTGTCTCTAAGGGACAGTACGATCTGGCCCGTCAGCACTGTTGTAGCTCTGTATTTGGGCCTCGTCCCGTTTATAACCCCGTGTAATGTCCGTCTGTTTCAGGTGTTCGTATCTAAAGGACAGTACGATCTGGCTCGCCAGCACTGTCAGAGCAACCCGGCCGTGGTGGACCGAATTACAGCTCACCAGGCGGAGGACTGCTTCGACAAGGGAGAGTGAGTGAAACTAAAAACGCGCGCGCACACACGCATGCATTTGTCACACTCGTGGCCAGTGGGTTGGGCTGGCTAAAAGGAAAGTCAACACATGCTCGTATTTTGGCTTTGGTCCATTCTTTTGTTCCCCGTCACATCGCCGCCGACCCGTCCGTGCAAAGCCATTCATCGCCGCCCCTATCACAGCTTGAGCTGACCCTCTCCTAGGTTCTTCGCAGTCCTGACCTCAGTTTGCGGACACCCAGAGTGCCGTCCGCACAGGGGAGCACTGCCGCTTCAACCCTATTGGCCGTAGTGTCTAACGGTGGCGGCCATAATTATTGCGCAGACCAGGAACCGGCTGCCGCCTGTGTTGAGGAATAGGGAATTCGGGACCTCGATTTACGTTTGCGGCCGCCGTATCCGTTACCATCAAGTTACGTAGATACGGAACCCGGCATCTTACGCAGTATTGAGTGGGGAACACGATCGTATCTTCAGAATTCCTCAAATTCACTCGCCGGACCTACATTTGCCCCGGCCGAGGGGGTTGATTGAACCCACCTCGCTAATGCGCCGCTAATTAAACTAGGTAAAGTGGTCGTATGCGGCAAAGTATAATGCAGTGACTGGTAGGAACCCGCTGTAAGGGTTTCAGGTCAACCGGTGACCTCTGAGGTCAGGTCAAGTGATCTAAGGCACGGGTTCGGTTTTTGGTAAATAACTTCGCCAAAAATGGCTGTAGAGCCGCGATTTTGGCATCATCGTGTTCAGCTAGCTTAGGCGCATCGAGTGATATACTTTTTGTTCGGGTCAGGTCAACTTAGGGTGTTGACCTCAGGTCAAGGTCAGGTCAGCACCCCCAGGTCACGAAGTTGGTCGAAAGAGGTCATGTCGCATATCGTTCGATTCGGCAGGTCTTCCTGAGTCTATTGGTGGCTTTCCCGACTCGCTAGCTCAATTTGATCGGGAGTTATTGAAGAAAAATTGTGACCCTTGTGACGTCACAAATGACGTCACACAAGGGCAACAATGCAAATATGAAGCATAGAACCTTGCAAAGAGTGCATGAAATCATGATTCTTTATGCTTGAGATAGTTTCAGATCATTCTCGGCGCCAAAATAGCAATTTTCATATTTCCCCATTGACTTATAACGGTTTAACGTATTAGTTCCTTGTATCTGAGGATTTTTTAGGATTTCATCTTGTTCTCCACTCAATTCTGCGTAAGATGCCGGGTTCCGTGTCCACATAGCTTGAACGTAACGGATGCAGCGACCGCAAACGTAAATCGAGGTCCCGAATTCCCTATTCCCCAACACAGGCGGCGGCCGCTTCCTGGTCTGCGCAACATGGCGGCACCATTGGACACCATCTGGCGGCCGATGCGCCTTCCACATTATAGAGTTCAGTGGCCATCCGTCTCTCCCAAGTAACCATCTGTCCCAATTCTCCCCCAGGCTCGCCCGCAGCGCTGAGCTGTTCGCTGACACCCAGTGTCCGTCCGTCTCTCCCAGTAGTAACCATCCGTCTCTCCCCCAGGTTCGCCCGCAGCGCTGAGCTGTTCGCGGACTCCCGGTGCCGACTGGAGGAAGTGGCCCTCAAGTTCATGGGCAAAGAGGAGTACGGTCCACTACGACAGTTCCTTATGATGGTAAGTACTTAGGGGCAGGCAGAATCGGTTGACGGATATTTGAGGCTGCTCGCCTATTTTGACTCGCTGCTTGTGTGTCCTGAATTCGAAGGGTTATTCATCCATCTCATGGGTTTGTCTCGACATATCAAACATTATTCAAATGCTTTGTGAAGTTTGATACTGAATGCTTATTTTAAGTATTTGTTCGGAAATCAGCGTCGTGATTGAAGCACTCAGCTGACTGACGCCATACGATTAGTCATTTCGTCGTTTAATTATACCTATCATGATTGACCCTGCCTCTGTTTAAATCCCTATTATTGGCCCTCCCTTCCTCTGACTCCCCTCTGATTGGTCCTCCCTGTCGCCTGACACCCCCTGATTGGTTCCAGCGCCTGTCGTCCCTGCCCGCCTCTGGCGGGGTCCGCGCCGCCCTGCTGGTCATCTGGTGCCTGGAGTTGTTCCTCACTCAGCTGGATAGGCTGGAGGAGGAGGAGGAGCAGAGCAGGAGGAAGCTGCGGAAGGAGATGATGCAGTTCCTGACGTCGCAGCGCGCGCTGGTTAGTCTTCCGAAGGGTCTTGGCTCTGAAATAATGACATATGTCTTCCTCTGGTCAATCATCACAGTCATCTTGGATAATTGTGGTACTTAGCTTTCTTTGATCAATTACGGCCCTTACAGCAGCAAATTTTCGACAGGATCCTCCCCTTTGTAACTTTTGTCTCTTCATGCAACCCAGCGTGAATTTATTCGCGACACGCGTATGTGTTACGTAGCTGTACAGCTGCTGTACAGTCTGTCTTAAAAGTACCGCGCAAAGTGACGGTGGATCCATCAAGCCTGACTGAGGTAGGGCCTGCTATAATTTGAAAGTCACCGAACCAATTGACCTAGGGAATGGACGAGGATGTGAATTGCTTCGGTGACTGAAATTTAATAGGCCCTTCCTCGGTCAGGCATGATGGATCCACCGTCACTTTGCGCGGTACTTTTAAGACAGACTGTACACCATGCATCATGATTCATGGTCAGCCTTCCCCCTTGTGTTGGCCGTGCCAACTTTACCGTACCATATCGCCTCCCCCTCCCCCCCCCCCAGGATCACGTGCGTCAGGCGCGCAGCACCATGTATGACCTGATGTCCCGCCACGGCGACTGGGCGGTGTGACTGACCCGTCCCCCTCCCCCCAGGATCACGTGCGTCAGGCGCGCAGTACCATGTACGACCTGATGTCGCGCCACGGAGACTGGGCGGCCGTCACAGAGCTGGCAGAGCTACTCGGGGACTGGGAGACGGTGGTGAGACATCACCTCAAGAACGGACACGTCACCAAAGGTGAGATGACGTTTATTTCCGCTGTCCAATGTCCACTGCCTGCTGTCGAACTTTCCGCCATCCAATGTCGTAATTTGCTGCGTGATTCATCTTTTTTTTCTCTCCCTAAAAGACAACACTATAATGTTCTTTTTGATGTAACACACTGTGATTTCTTGGAAATAAACCACAATTTCTAGATAAAACATTTGCAAAATGTTAAAGTTCAAAATGTTACGCATGCGATGCTACTGTTGGATGGCAAATGTATGTAGCACCAGAGCTCTCACTAACTCTGACACTAAGTGTTACCACATGTGTACCCAACAGTGTATCACCCGCTCGACTAACTGTCACGTTTTCCCCCATCTGTCCCCACCTAGCGCTGGAGACGCTGCGCCGCCACCCGGACCCGCAGCTGCTCTGTGAGCTGGTGCCTCAGCCGCAGCTGGTCCGAACAGAACTGTACTAACCGTTCCGTACCCCCCCCCCTCTCTAGCGCTGGAGACGCTGCGCCGCCACCCGGATCCGCAGCTGCTCTGTGAGCTGGTCCCTCAGCTGGTCCGAGCCGAACCCACTCTTACCATAGACCTGGTGGTCGCTCAGGGACGGAAACTCAAACCGGCGCTGCTCATGCCGCGACTCATACTGGCCGATACGTCCGAGGAACAGGTACGAATTCACGGGGCAAGGCACTCCCATTCAGAGGCACTCAGGCAAAAGGCATTCAGGGGCACTCCCTAAACTCATGAAAGTTAAGGGAGTTGATGAGTTAGTGCTCGTTAAAAACATGTTTGATGTGATAGGAGTGACCTGTAGTCGAAGCCAAGGGTCTGATGGATGATGCTGAATAGCTTGATTTGTTTCATTTTGCTATATTACCGTACGTTATTTGTTGATGTTGATTGTCATTCACTGGAGTACTTCCTTTTGTATAGTCTTTTTAAGACCGATTTCAGATTTTTTTGATTAATGATACTATGTCGCGTGTCGCGTCCTTGAAACAATTATTTGAGGCAAAGTTGAGCGAGGCTGACAACTCAACAAGTTGAGTATGTCTGGTTAGTTTAAATCTTCTCTTTCCCTATGATAACAGGGTCAGCAGATTCTGCGCTACCTGGAGTTTTGCGTCAACACTCTGGAGAGTACTGACAACGTGGCTCATAACTACTTGGTCACTCTGTACACGCGGTACAGGCCTGACAAACTGATGGCCTACCTGCACGGACAAGGTATGTGACGGGACGGGATAGAACTAACAGCTGGCCTACCTTCACGGACAGGGTACGTGACGGGACGGAATAGAACTAACAGCTGGCCTGCATACACGGACAGGGAACGTGAAAGGACGGGATAAACATGACCTACAGGACATGGCACGTAACCGCTGGAGGGGATTTGGTGACGAGACGGTGTAAACCTGGCCTATCGGACAGGGTTTGTGGCAGGACGGGCTTTCGATGGCCGTTTTTTAATACGGACGTGCTCTGCCAGCGGCTCATGGTTCTGAAACTACGCTCGTCTTATAAAAAGACGTGTTGCAAGTGAAAAGTAAAGACATATGCAGTTGCGGTAGACTGTGGTCTGACTGTCATATTGTGTTTGTTACACTCTGTGTTTTATCATCTCCCTGCAGGCTCCGACCGCCACTGCGTCCACTAACACTCCTGGCCACGTGCTGCGCCAGTATTAAATACACTCTTATCTGGTTCGTTCTCTCCTCCCAGGCTCTGACCGTCTTGTGTGTGATTGTTGTGCCGCAGGGTCCGACCGCCACTGCGTGCACTACACTCCGGGCCACGTGCTGCGCCAGTGCTTCGTGCGCCAGCCGCGGGCGGCCGTACACGTTCTGACCGTGGTTGGACGGTACCAGGAGGCGGTGGAGCTGGCCCTGAAGCATGACGTGGCGCTGGCCAAACAGGTGACTGGCGAGGGGAAGGGGTACGGGGATGGCCGCTGGGGTTGAGAGTGTTGTTGTTTGCTCTTGGGGATGCTTGATTTAGGACTGGTGAGCAAGGAAACTGAATAAGTAAATATCGATACAATAAAATCTAGAAGTTTCACAGGATAAGCTATAAATGAATGGGATTCCTACATTTATTCAGCTCTCTAAAGTGTCGCGTAATTTGTCGGAATTATGAATTTTTCTGCATTTTTTTTTTTTGTAAATTGTATGTGTCTGTTGTTGGGTAACTGGGAACTAATGATGTATAACGTCTTATGTGTTACGGGAAAAGACGGTAGCTACGTTACCGTTTTCAATATTCTTTTCTGTAATTCTCAGGTGGCTAACCTACCCGAGGATGACGACACGCTGAAAAAGAGGCTCTGGTTGCTGATTGGTGAGTTGTAGACGGTGTCGCATGCCGTTAATGTGGGGTGTGACAGTGGCTGGACGTGCGTGTGTCTGCATGATTGTATGTTTTTTTTTTGCGCACTGACATTTGTGTGTTCAAAAATGGATAATTGTCAGTCCTTTTTATCTGATAAAATTTTGGGGACTCGCGTAAATGCCCTTTTGTACTTTGTACATTCTCTCTTATACATAGCTGACTTTTGCTCTATTGCATTTAGCTTGTTTCTGTTCCCGTGATTTTGCTTCTCCGAAATCAGCTAACCTTAGTTGAGCAGCTCCTAGTCGCCATAGGATCCGTCATTCCGTAGATCCGTCCGTAGATACCACACAGCAAGAACATCAGATTCTTACGAAATAGATCTCGACTAGCTCGAGCAAATCAGCCACCGATACGCGTCTTATAACTTATCTCGGCAACCCTATTCCTCTGTATACCACAGTGACATAGTTCTCTAACGCCTGTTGTGTCCCACTCCTCCGTCAGCCAAGCACACGATCCAGTGTGACCAGGACGTGCAGCGGACGATGCAGTTTCTGGCCGAGTGTCGGCTGCTCAGGATCGAGGACGTGCTGCCCTTCTTCCCCGACTTCGTCACCATCGACGACTTCAAGGAGGCCATCTGTGACTCTCTGCAGGTGGGATATGTCGGCAGTCGGGGGTGGGGAGGGGGGGGGAGGGGAGAGGAAGCACGAGCTGCTCTGCGTAGTACCACCTGGGCAGGGTGGATGCCGAGGCTTCAGTAAGTTTGTTATTGGTAAACATTGTGGTTTGTTGACAATATTGTGACTGGCTGATTAAGTACTGCTTCCTTACCGTAAGTGATGGATCGTCTTCTTCCAAGCAAGATAATTTGATAAATATGTTGTTTCCTGATTGTGACATTCTATGTCTTGAAATGCTTGTTGTGCACATAAATGAGAGTCGTGATTAACTGGCGTATGGGTATGTCATGTTTCGTCACGTATTACTACCGTCATCACTCATCAGTCATCACAGAACCGCCACGTCAGTTACAGCTCCTGACGCTTAACACTTCAGCTTACTACCCCCTTACATCACATGTAATGATGTACTATGACTACCTTCCACCGACGTGCCACCCACCCCTCCACTGACGTCTGGGTGACGTGTTGCCACCAGTCTTACAACGAACACATCGGAGAGCTACGAACTGACATGGAGGAGGCGGCGCGGGCCACCGAACTGCTGAGAACGGAAATTGAACACTTCCGGGAGGGATACGTCACCGTACAGGTAGGTGACGGCGGAGCATGTGTATGTATGTAGATACAGGTGCATATGCTACAGTACGGACAGTGCAGCAGATACGGGATATAAGAGATACTGCAGATATGAGATGCATATTGTAGAGATGCGCGATATAAGAGATACGATGTAATAGGTAGGTTTTAGTCGGTATAAAGGATTTAGGAAGAATCCCACGGGCTTATGATATGACGGTGCGTTAGCCTGATGGGTGTATGTCAAGTCCGAGGGGAAACGCCATCGAACGTCCTGGCTCCATGAAATCATCGAAAGCGGTGAGGGTGTTGACGAATGACCTGTCAAGCTAGACCAACTCGGCGAATATTTCTCAGCAGGGAGGTCTTTATTTTACCGATCACAAAGCCTAGCTCACAGGCAGGTCACCCTGCAGCCCGGGCCTTGTTCGGGAAACTGACTGGTCGGGGGTCCTTACTCCGTCCTTAGTCGTGCGCTGCGCTCTAATTTATGCGACCCAATCTCATAGATTAGCTAGGGGTGTCGAACACCAAGCCTGGCAAGTCGGGCCTGGGGCACTAGCAGGGAGAGCCACCGTGAACAGCAAGTGTGTGGAGAGGAGGGAAAGAGGGGGGGGGGCGTTGGAGCTGCGATGCTGTCTGGAGCAGAACCGAAGATAACAGTTTTAGCCCTTATCAGTGCTCACTGTTGTGTGTGGAAAGCTCGGACAACAATACATTATACGATCTTCGCTTTGAGTTGAGAAGTGGGATGAGATTAGGTTGGTAAAATATGTTTGACATTTTTTTTTTCGTCCGATGTATCACCAGCAGTGTACCAGGCTGATCAAGCCTTGCACTGAGCTGCAGCTACTGAATGTGTGCCAAATATTTTCTCCATCCTCCCTGTGTTTCAGGACACGGGACAAGCGTGTCAGATGTGGTGTCAGTCATGACTGTCACTGACTCACCGCTTCCCCGTCCCCAGGCGTCAGATACGTCCGGTGTGCCGTTACCAGCTCACCACCCAGCCTCTGTATATACGTGTGTCATGCGTAGCAAATGTGTCATGTGTCACATTTTGATCCCTCTCCCTCGTCCTTAGTCCTCTGAACGTGTGTCATCATGTGTCATGTATGTCAGGATGAGTTATGTGTCATAATATGTGTCATATGTGTCACATTCTGACACACCTTCCCACATCCCCAGGCGTCTGATACGTGTCAGATCTGTCGGCACCAACTCCTCGGCCTGTACGTGTGTCATATGTGTCAGTCGTGTCATAAGTGTCACATTCTGACACCCCTTCCCCCTTCCCCAGGCGTCAGACACATGTCAGATCTGCCGCCATCAGCTCCTCACCCGGCCTCTGTACGTGTTTCCCTGCGGCCACAAGTTCCATCAGGACTGTCTGGCGGACGAGGTGACCCCATTACTCAGTCAGGAGCAGCGCGACAGGGTCGCTGAACTCGAGGTGAGGGAGGACGCGGTGGCTCAGATGGGTTAGGTCTCGTTAGCTGATCATGGTGAGTTGAGTCCGGTTCGGTCACGTCAGGTTACATGCCACGGTACGTGAGATCACGTCCCGCTTCCCAGTAACGTCAGGTCACGTCCAGTTAGTCCTCGTTACGCTAGGTTATATAGCTTATTTCATGGCGCGTTTGTGCTTATTCTAAGAGTGGTGCTCACCCCACGTCTGGTAAGGCAGGCTGCAGGTATAAATGCTTTGGCTTGCCAATGGCTTAGCCTCTGACCTGCGATTACTGGGATGTCATTAGTCCCTTACCCCTGAACTGTTTCCTGGCCTCTGATCCCTGACCTGACCCGGCAGCACAAGCTGACCACGCTACCAGAGGACGACCTGGGGTCGGCAGCGGCCGGCGGAGTGACCCAGGTCAGCCCACGGGTCACCGTCAGGGAAGAACTGGACGAGCTGGTGGCCGCCGAGTGTCTCTACTGCGGCGACTACCTTATCAGGTTAGTGGGGGGACTACAGGGACTACCTCATTATGTTAGGGAATGATGGGTGAAGGGACTACCCCCTTATCAGGTTTTCATATTAAAATCATGCTAGTTATTGACAGGAGACAAATGGAAATATTGCATAGGTTCATTGGTTGGGATGACTATCTTATCTGGTTGGTAGACAGAGGGACTATAAAGACATCAGGTATTTCAGAAGACTACAGAGACTAATTAATTGTCAGTGGCCAGGATCTGAAGAAAAAAAAAATCCGGATAGCGGCCAGACCGTATCGTTGACAATATCCTCCCCTTTGCTCTGCTCTTTCAGGGTACTGGACGAACCTCTACTCAACGACTTTCCGGAGCGCTAGTGACCTACTCTTCCCCTCTCACACATACGCAGGGGTCACAACGCTACTTCGTGATATCAAAGGGTAGGTGAGATATAGCAGCAGCTGGTGGTAAAAGACCAGTCTACTCATCGGGCTAGCGTGAGAAAGTGGTCACTATCATGATATATTATTTCTTGTGTATGCTTATTGCCTATACATTATGTGTGTAACTATCGCATTGTTTATGCCATTGTGGAGTCTGTGTCCAACACGCTATCTTGGTAAACCGTATCGGAGGCTGTATTGCTGGAATGGGAGCGCCTGTGTACGGGAGGAGAGGGGAGGAAGGGATAGAACAGGCGTCATCCTGTCCATTCAGTTGGTTATGGGTGTGTCTGGCCGTCCCTTTTCTCTGCAGAGATGATGTATAGTCGTCATTCATTCACGTCTAGTCGCGGCTGAGTGTGAGCCGCCCTTTACTTTCCATAGATGGGAATAGGTCGAGTAGGGCAGGGACAGGCGTCATCCATTCACAGCACTGTTAACTAGTGTGTCTGGACCGGGTCTTAGCTCCCCATAGAGAGAAGGGGACAGGACAGATGTCATGGACGCTTCCACTACTGGCTAGCCACGGCTGTGTCTGTACTTCCCCCTCCTCTCATCCTCTCCTTTTTTCTTAGACAAGGCGTGGCACCACAGTCCGAAATTCAGCCTCCGTGGGGTTATGAGGCGCGCGGTACCGGCCAATGGATGGTCCGCTCTTCGGGCGGGTCTGTTCGCTGGTATGTGCTGGTGGGTTGCGCGTATCTGATTCCAGTATGTTGCATTTGTGATGATTTTGTGTGTGGCAGTGTAAGCGAGAAATGTATCATTATAAGCCAACTGATAATGATTTTTCTTCGCGGTGAGAGCTAGCGCCGCCTATGTGATTGCGTCATACCGCCCGCTCGTCAAGTCTGCATGACCCGGGCACGGGTCATTCGTGCGCGCGGCACCGGCGGGAGCGGGCGACCGATACCGAGCGCGGGCATCGCATTCGCAGTTCGTCAGCAGCACAGGCAGTTTGGCACTGCAGAGGTGAGCCGGCTTTGAGTTCGCCCTGACGAAAACTAAACTGTGAGCGTGTTGCCGATCAGTTTTTGACATCGCATATTTATTCTTTGCGCATATTAACTATTTGCATGAGCATTCGTTTCACTGGTCTCGGCTCTGAGGGCCGCTTGATTTTTCGCGTCATATACGACCCTACTAATTGAACTCTCTGTACTGTGTGCACACATTGCTCGGCCCCCGTTATTCTCCGGTCGAGAAGCATGTGTGTGCAGATGCAGCTTTTTCAGATTTTGTCGGTATCACCACTTGCGGCGCTAGTTCAAATGAACTTACACTGGGTCTTGAGCTGCATGTGACTATTGGTTCCCGTCCCCGCCTGTGCCGTGGTCGATAGCCGCATCGGCTGCCCGTGCCCCAGGGCACTGTCGGCATCTGGTGCCTGGCCGGCGCGGCCCGGACGCCAGGCCGGCCGACCTGCCCTCTGGGCCCCCGGGGCATTGACCTACTGACCTCACTCGAGCATGGGGCAACATCAGTCACCGGACCCGGGCGCACAGACCTCAGCGAGGGGTGAGCAACGGGCTCATGCGTCACGAGGAGCGCCGCCAGGGGCCGCTCAGCGCCTAGAGGCAGCTCAGTCGCGGCTACGCCCCAACGTTCTCCTGTCCCAGCGCCAGCGGACGCCGGGACCTCTATGATGACGGCCACGAGTGTCCAGCCACACTCGTCCGGTGCACCAGCTGCACCAGCTGCCCCTGCCGACACCGTCACGTTCAGCAGGGAGCAGCTGAGCGAGATGATCGGTGAGATGGTTCAGGCTGCTGTGGCAGCCGCTGTGCCAGCGGCCGTCTCCGTCCCATCGACGTCTCAACATACGTCGCCGGGGGCACCGCTAGACCTCAGGCAGCCGGCGACCGCAGTGTTCCCGCCGCAAATGGGCTCTGAAAGAAACGAACAACCAGGTAACTCCCCAGGCTCCGCGGCATGCGTGTCCTCAGACATCAGTTTTCACGTAACAGCCACTACCAGGCACAACATTGTAGGCCACCGTTTTGTCGATCTTGGCTCATTGCTCGACACTTCTGATCCTCGCTCTCAAGCGCCTGAAGGCACCTTCAACCTCGTTGATGGTCGTCTGCAGCCAGCACGTTCCACACGCGTCATTCAGACGTTCGGAACATGGTCAGTTGCTTTTCTTCGGTACGCAGGTATTTACCTGCAAGCCCATCCGGAGGATGCCCTCGGGCTCATCACTCACATGCGCCAAGTCAGCTCCCTCTCAGCTCCCGGCATGGGGTTCGCTTGGAGGGAATATGACGAGCAGTTTCGCCGCGCTCGCGAGCTCTTCCCACACGCGTACAAGTGGGGCGAATCCGATGCAAACTCGCCAATTTGGCTGAACGCTATCGGCCGCGGCATCGCCAGCGTCTCAAAGGGGCAGGTCCCGGGGCCTTCGGGGGCGCGGAATTTTCAACCCATCTGCCTCTCATTCAATCGCCCCGGTGGATGTACGCGCGGCCGCTGCCGCTACATCCACTCCTGTCGGTTCTGTCGCGGAAACCACAGCGCCCTCCGCTGCCCTCGGCGCAACGCCATGCGCAGTCAGCGGCCGGTCACCCCGCACGCCGCCCTCCCCGCTACTAGGAAATAGCGGACTACCCACTGGCATTGTGCCCGCTGTCAGCGTGCCACCTACCGTGCTTCGTGAGCTCCTTCTTGGCTATGATGAAATTCTTGCATCCTATTTGGTGGACGGGTTCGAAAGAGGCTTCTCAATCGGCTGTTTGGGGCTGCCCTCGGGTGGCATGCAGCCCAATCTACCTTCATGCGATCTCGCGCCCGAAGTAATCGACGCATACATCGATTCCGAGAGGCGTGCGGGTCGCATTGCCGGTCCTTTTCACCCACACTGTTCATGGATTAAAAAGTTTTCCCCGATCGGGCTCATCCCGAAAAAGACGCCGGGGACTTATCGCGTCATCCATCACCTTTCCTTCCCAACCGGTGGATCTGTCAATGACTTCATCCCCAGAGAATTCACATCAGTTCACTATGGCTCAGTGGACGATGCTGTTAAGTTGATTTCCACCATGCATTTTCCTTACTTGGCCAAGACAGATATCGCCAGTGCATTTCGCATCATTCCAATTCGCCCAGCGGACTGCCCTATGCTGGGTTTTCACTGGCGCGGCTCCGCGTATGTTGACCTGGCTCTGCCCATGGGATGTTCGAGCAGCTCAAAAATTTTTCAGACGTTCAGCGACTCCCTGATATGGATGGCTCAGAACAAATTTTCTGTCGGACGGATGGTTTCTGTGCTAGATGATTTTCTATTTATTGACGGAAGTCATGAGGAATGCTTGTCGTCTCTGAATGCGTTTCGACGCATGTGCACAGAGCTCCATGTTCCACTGCGCGCTGACAAAACAGTTGAGCCATGCCGTGCCCTCACATTCCTGGGCATAGAATTGGATGTGGACGCTCAAGAACTGCGCTTGCCTCCTGAAAAGCTCCAGCGTGCGATCGCAGGAGTGAGTTCGCTATTGACGCGCAAAAAGGCTCCCCTACGGGAGGTTCAATCCTGCCTTGGTCTTCTTAACTTTGCCTGCATGGCTGTACCTCTTGGACGTGTGTTCCTTCGCCGAATGTACGATCTCTGTCGAGGCGCGCTCCGTCCACACCACCGTGTGACGCTCACCAAGGCGGCCCGGCTGGATCTCCAGGCATGGCAGATCATGCTGACGTCCTTCCATGGTCGATCTCTCCTGGAATCAAGGCGCTGGGATCGAGAGCCTGGAATCAGCCTCGAAACTGATGCGTCAGGAAGCACGGGTATTGGGGCCATCTGTGGAAATGCGTGGCTATCAGGCCAATGGCCTGACCAGCTTAGTAGTGCTGACATCTGTGTTAAAGAACTGATTGCCGTCGTCATTGCCGTCTCCGTGTGGTGCACACGACTCAGCAATCGTTGTGTGCTCGTTCGCTGCGACAATGCAGCGGTGGTAGAGTGCATCACCTCTCAATCGTCCCGTTCACCAGAACTGATGCACTGGCTGAGGAGACTTTTTGTCACTACATGTTTGCACAACATTCTTGTCCGCGCTATTCACACCCCTGGTTCCCTTAATCTCGCAGCTGACGCCCTTTCGCGTGGCTTGCTTCAGGTGTTCAGACGCCTCAGGCCTCTCGCGGATCAGCAGCCCACGCCTTGGGACTGGGCCGACCACGTCCCCCGTCAACCATAGCAGCGCTCCTGTCAGCGGCGCTGGCTCCTGCAACGGCCCGGGCCTATCACGCCATCTGGGCGGAGCTGCGGAATTTTCTTCGGCGGTCGGCCTCGGACAGCCTGTTTCCAGTCAGTGTCGATGAACTGGCCTGTTTCATCGCGTCTCGATACGATGCTGGATCTGCAGCTGCCACTCTATCTAGTGTCGTGTCTGCTATTTCATATGGCCACAAAGTCCATGGTTTAGCCGACCCCTCAACGAATTTTCGCATCAGACAGATGTTGACAGGTGCTCGTCGCCTGCGGCCGAGCCGGGATATGCGTACTGCAATCACCTTGCCAGAACTGGGACAGCTGTGTAACGCTCTTCGGCAGGCCGCCATGTCTCCTTTAGAACGTTCCGCGTTCCATGCCATTTTCACGCTGGCGTTCTTTGCCCTTCTCCGACCCGGCGAAGTGGTTCGTTGTGGCCGACAGGAACATTTCCTACGGATGGGTGGAGTGCGGTTGCAGCACAGGCATCTTTTCATTACCATTCCCTCGTCCAAGACCTCACAGACGCCGGTCACGTTCCAGTTGGAGGAGCGGTCAGACCTCCCGGAATGTCCTGTGGCTGCTGTCCGCTCCTATTTGCTGCTGCGCGGGGCCGGGCACCAGCATGAGGCTCTGTTCGTCGGTGATGGGCGCCGTCCAATCACTGGAAATCAGCTCAATCGTGCCCTCCGGCAGACAAGCCAAATAGCCGGTCTGTCTAGGGCCCATCTGTCTGGCCATTGCCTACGCATTGGTGGGGCGTCGCATGGCGCTATTATCGGCATGACTGAGGTGCAACTCAGTCAGGCGGGACGCTGGTCCTCTCAGGCTATGCATCGATATGTCCGACGTCACGTCTCTGTTTTACGAGCTACTCCTCAGGCACCTGCAGTGCCATAGGGTCCAGGTCACGACGCACTGGTACTATTCCGCCCGTTCCCTTGTTCTATGGCGCGTTTTGGTCTCTGCTCTGCTATGCGCCTGTCGTGGGGCCAAATTTCGTTAGCGGAGCAATGTAAATGATTCTCGTGGCTCTGCTGTGCGCTGGTCTGAGATTGGTGCTAGTTTCGCCGGCTGATTTTTCGTTGCACTGCTCAGCCGTGCGCTAGTCCAAGCTTAGTGCCAGTTACGCCGGCCGACCTCTCGTTGCATTGCTGAGCCGTGCGCTGGTCCAAAATTGGTGCCAGTTACGCCGGCCGACCTTTTCGCTGCATTTGCTGAACCGTGCGCTGGTCCAAGATTGGTGCCAGTTACGCCGGCCAATTTTTCGATACACCGTTTCAGCCGTGCGCTGGTCCGAGATTGGTGCCAGTTACGCCGGCCGATTTTTCGCTACACCGTTCAGCCGTGCGCTGGTCCGAAATTGGTGCCAGTTACGCCGGCAGGCATTCGCAACATGAATGTTCCCTACGCTGCACATCTCCCCCGCTTGCATCTCATTATTCGTCGTCTGTACACTAATGTAACTCGTCAGGGCCTTCGTGTGAGCGGCAGATGTAATCTTGCAATCATTCGCAGTATAGCTAATTCGTTTCGCATCGCTGTGTGCAGACAAGGTGTTGATGCGAGCGGTGTCTGGCGCGTTCTTCCGCCTGTCTTCTGCGTTATGTCGCTGTTTGTGCTGGCCAGGTGCGTAGCAATGTTTTTGTTTGGCTTGTATGCGTATGCGTTATTTGCTTGAATCTGCCTAGAATTATCTTATTACGTTTTCCCTGCCTACGCATCGTTCTCGGGTTCGTGGGGGTAGTGGGCTTTTCCTCACCCAAAAGCATCGTTGAACTGCACAATACATAGACCCATAATCACAACGACGCCTTTGCGAGCTCGAACGAAGCGTAGAAATGTATCATTATAAGCCAACTGATAATGATTTTTCTTCGCGGTGAGAGCTAGCGCCGCCTATGTGATTGCGTCATACCGCCCGCTCGTCAAGTCTGCATGACCCGGGCACGGGTCATTCGTGCGCGCGGCACCGGCGGGAGCGGGCGGCCGATACCGAGCGCGGGCATCGCATTCTTCACCACCCACCTCCCCGCCGCCACCGACTGTACTGTTTCACGTCGTAGTGGGTAATCCATGTTGCATGCACTACTATGTTGCAACTGCTCAATCTCCGCGTATATGCTTCATGCCTTGTATGTTCCCATATCTTCGGCTATGTATTGTGGGCTTTTCCTCACCCAAAGGCATCGTTGAACTGCACAATACATAGACCCATAATCACAACGACGCCTTTGCGAGCTCGAACGAAGCGTAGAAATGAATTTGTATTCTTTCATCGATCGCGAACTGATGTATATCGCTTTTCGCTGTGGTATCTAAGTAAATATATTATTGTGCAAGAAGCCTTTCGTCTTGATTAGATATTCACACCCGCAGTATTGATCATGAGATGAGCAACGGGATCTACTTTGCATTCGTAGCCAAGATCCGTATAGTACGGATCTGTAAACTTAAAGCGCAAAAGACAAATGCATGTTGTTGTTTTACGCTGAACGTTGTAGGCCCCAGCTATTGGTCTCGAGTTTTGTTCACCCGCCGGCTGCCGCTGTTTTTCTGTCAGTTTGGACACACATTCTGTGTGGTGTGGATGAAATGAAAGGTATAGCCATATGTTGATATGTGACACGACCTGGCAGGCGGGTACACCGCGGCATGCGCACAGGTTTGCGTAAATCAGGCACACGTTCGCACATAGAAACACACACTGACTTTGGAGATAAAAGACACCTGTTTATTACCAACTCTGTGGGTGAACACACTCACATGCTCACTGGGCTACTCACACTGTCTGAAGCGCAGAGAGAAGCCACGACTCACACTGCCGTTCCTTCGCATTCATTTCGACATTCGGCGAGAAACGCACGCGTCTTTTATAGGGCCCACACGGGCGGACAGTCACTGCATCCAGCGCTCGTTCCCTGGGGCTCCCCACCAGCCAGCCCCATAGGGCGGCCAGTCACGTCCAGTCACATCAAGCACAAGCATTCTGTTATCTACATTTCACACCCTATACCGGTCAAAAATGTCATGGTAGTGCATAAATAACACAACTAACAAACAAATTTATCTAACTCTTACATCCAGTTGAGTTCATTTTCAATCCTATCTACACTTTTACTACCATAAAACAAATCGGTTTGTAACAAATTCACCAAGCACAGCAAATACAAAGCTTAGCCCATACAAAGCACAACTCGTATTGACAATGACAAGGGTGTTGGGTGCATCATCGACCACCAAATGCATGTCGTGGGATGACAGTGAAGTTTATACAGTTCAATCCTACCTGGGTTTCCACTCGGGCTACCGTGGCGGCACCGGGCACGGTACACGAAAAGGCAGTGCGGCGCTGACCAATGACGTCCTAGGCTGTCTAATGACGTCATAAAGTATCAATGACGTCACAATCCGTACCAGTGATGTCAAAGACTATCCGTAACGCTGAAGCTAGAACACGCGGTGTCCGTGAGTCAACCAGTAGGTCAGTAGGTTGTCCGTGGTCTCAGCCAGTAGCTTGACTCATTCGTCGCGTCTACTCGTGGCAAAAAACTGCCACGAGTCGACTGACTACACGGCGCCGCCACGTACCAAACCACGTGAAAACACGTGCGCCACGACGCTGCCCGCCCGCAGCAGGCACGGCGCACAGGGCTGTGAGGTGTCCCCCCACCCCGCGTGGCCCCGCAAGTCCGTCTTCAGGCACCGGGACCCGTTACACCACAAAGGTCTGTCTTATAACACTGAAAAGGCCGTCACGGCCAGCCGGCGCCGCACAATACATCAAAAAACAGTACAAAATCGTACAAACTAGCGTCCGACGGCGCACAGTAAGCTCGGAACAAAATGTCCGCCCCCTTGGAAGCCTCAAAAATGCGCGCCACGTCTTTGAAATAGTTCGTCGCGGCGCCACGCTACACGGTGTGGTCCGAAAACGTCATGTGACGTCATGCCTAACAGCGTGGTGCGGCGTTATTGGTGACGTCATACTTAATCACGTGGCTCTGCGTTATTGGTGACGTCATACCTCACAGCGTGGTCCTGTGTTATTGAGTGACGTCACACCAATGCCATGGCGCCGGCCGGGCGGCTCGGTCCCAGGTGTTTGTGACGCCATGCGACCGAACTTGTGACGTCATAAGGCACCTGACCAATCACATTCGACTGGCCTTCTGAAGCAGCATCTGCGGGGAAAAGGTAAGGTCAGGCGACGGACAGGGAGGGTGCGTTATGACCTGGGGGAGGGGCTGTGGAGGCGACCCTAAAACAAACTAAAAACTGCGGATAAACATCGCCAGAATATCGAATATCGAAGGGCGTAATAATATTCAAAAGTTCCAATAGATTCAAAAATCAAATTTCAATCAATAATCCGCTGTCACTCTAAGTTCACGATTTTTTTTTAGAGCGAACTAATCAGGGAAATCACAAACACAAACGATTTCTATCTGCGAGAGCGTCTTTGCAGTTTGCACGAAAGTAGTACTACCGGCAAAATCACCCCAAACCGCATTTTCTAACATTCATGGAGGACGCGTGTAAGTTATCCAATGACCAATGCAACTGTCATGTAAATCTAAAACTTAAAAATAGTTAACAAGTAAGAAAAGTCGCTATCAAGAAGCCTAAAACCCCGAAACATCCCGCGGTGGGGATCGAACCCGCGTCGCTACCTTGGCCTTGTCTGAGGGCTCGTGGCCGTTGCTGTGGTTGTCGCAGGTGGCGCACTCGCGTGAGACCACGCACAGAAACTCGGACTGGTCGTTGTTACCGTAGTTGTACTGGCTGCCCACGTTGATCAGCTGCAACACGGTAAATCGGCGGGTTAGAGGTTAGAGGTAGCGATAGGAACCTTTTACTCGTGCCCGCGGCTCTAACATGGATAGAACAGAAGGGTCACTTATGGTGGCAGTTAAAATTATTGTACCTGACTTCAGCTACTTAGCAGTGAACATGAATCGAACATTAATCCGCAATATAAAAAACCGCGGACGACAATTCAGTAACAAAGTGAACAACAACTCTTCCCAACTACAAAAAAAAAAAACACCTGTGCGTGAAATTTCTCCAGTAGCGAATTACTTGGCAACACCGATCCACCGTTCCCGCTAACTCATTTTTTTAGAAGTCGGTCCTCCGGCTTAGGTCATTTGATCACGCCATACTCCACAATAACCCGTTCTCTGTGCACGATCAGCGTCCTCCCACACTAAACCATCCCCTGATCAGCGTCCTCCCTCACTAAACCATCCCCTGATCAGTGTTCTCCCACACTAAACCATCCTCTGACTAGTGTCCTTTCCTCTAATCATCCTCTCATCGAGCTTTCCTCCCTGCTAATCCCTCCTCACCTGCTCGAATTTCCATCCGTCGCTCATCGATGACATTAGCGATGTTAGCTCGTCCTCGTGGAACTGCATCACTCGGTAGACGTGTTTCCGAGAGCCGCTGACACCGGAGTCTCTGTAGGTCACGCGGGAAGGAAGAGGGATAGGGTGAGATAACGTTCTAAAAGCCAGAGAGAAGGGGCAGTGATATACGCCCAGTACCATGTCAGAATAGCTGAGCTATATTTGAGTGAGTTATTATACAGACTTCCCAAGCATTACCTACGTTATGCACGACTTACAAGTATGTAGACAGATCGATTAGTGGAATGGCCCTCTACATAGCGACAAGTTTCTCGTAGTTTTAGGGCGCGTCAACAGCAGATTCTAATTCGTGATATATTCAAACCATTAGAAATAGTCCCTGGAAAACACTAGAGATAGTGACAGTTTTTTCCGGCGGACACTGAAAAAAAAAATTGTTGCCGGCTTGTGACCGGGATAGGCATGAAATAATTCGCCACTTCGATCAAATGATGGGGCAATAATGGCATTCATTCTACAGCTCCGCCCGCAGTGGATTTCGACATCGTCACTCAAAGACCCAGCCCGTATACACACACAGTTCTTTCCACCGGCGGTCAGCAAGCAGAGCTACATCGTCTACAGCATGCTCACCTCCTTGTGATGCGGTCCTTGACCAGGTGGATGAGCCCGGTGATGTTGTAGAACTCTGCTTCCTCCAGTACGCCCTCCTCAGCCATGTTCTTATCCAGCACCAGCTTCCCATGGCGAAGGTAGTTGAGCACGGGCCCAAAGTACTGCGGGTCTCGGTCGATCAGGTAGGCCCCGTGCTCGTCCTGGCGAAAGGGTCAGAGCAGGTCAGGTCACTGTCTGGCATGACAGCACGTCCTACCTCCTTCTAACAAAGGACCAGACAATGCCTCCCGGAAGTGCATTCAGTCCACAAAACTTCAATGTGTTAACACACTTTTGCTAGGTTTCCAAGTTTCTACAACCTCACGATTTACTCCCGAAGGAGCGATCAGCCTAAGGATAGTCATAACAGTGGTTACCGTACAGGTCAGAATAAACATTTGGACGGGATGATACCCTAAAATTACACTGTGTGGATAATTGATAATTTCCGAACAAGCAATTAAGGCTCTAACTTGTGAAACAGTTTTATCTATCATTCATTACGGTCCCAGGCCACTACAATGAGTTGCATCCTACTGAAAAATCTGTAAGAACAAAGATACGCATAAATGCCTTCAGAAAAGATAACAATGATCACCAATAGAGTGTACTCGCCTTAGCCGTTGTCAGCTCCATGTTGCTCTGGCAGAGTCGGTAGAGAAACGACTTCTCGTCCTGACACAAAGTCGTGCGAGTCGTCATGAACTGGGTCCCTCCAACGTTCAGCTTGATCCATTCTTGTCCTCTTTGGTCCGACATGGTTTGATGCTTCTTAGACACCCTTCTGCGAAAAGAGGATTACACTCGTGTTCATGCATATTCACTTATACATTATAAATAGTCTTTGATGGTGAAATAATATACCCTAACTCAGTTCATAAAATGTAATTCCTTGTAACTCAGTTCAAATTCAATTGAAATGTAACTCAGTTCATAATATTCCCATTGTTCATGGCATGTGTTTCAGTTACTTCACCGGCCTACCAGGGGCACCACCGGCCTTACAGGAGCACCATGGGTCTGTCAGGGGCACCACTGGCCTTGCAGGAGCACCATGGGTCTGTCAGGGGCACCACTGGCCTTGCAGGAGCACCATGGGCCTGTCAGGAGCACCACGGGCCTGTCGTTAGCACTTCAGGCTTGTCAGGGGCACCACAGTCCGGCTTCCAGGGTCACCACAAACCTGTCAGGGACGCCTGCGGCCTAGCAGGGGTACCACAGTCCTGCCAGGGCACAATGGCCAAAAATAAAAAAATATAAAAACCACAAAAACAAAAAACTGAAAACAGGACACCACCAAAATTAAGTGACCCAAATCAGTTGAGTTTTTAATTTTAGGTATAGGTAGGGGCACCACTTCAATTCATGACCTTCCCTTGGAGTTTTCCTGGATCTGTCCTGATAAGGTAGCTATGGCAAAAGGCCATACATTCAACAATATGGCAAAGCAAGGCAGCAGAATTGTCAAAGATTTCAGGCCTGGCCCAATTAAACTGCAAGCGAAATCCAAAGCGTAGGTTATACCAGGTGAGAATACCAGTTGGTCCACACCACTCCAAACACCAACACAGGCTGAAACCATTCTAAATGTCCCTGAACTGATGACTTCTTACTGAGATTGCCATGCTTTGGAATCTCAACATCCCGTTCTTGCAGTCATTCTTGCAGATGGAGGGCGAAAACTATGATTTCAATTTTCAAGTAATTTTGGGGTTTGGAAGTATCTAAATCGCTGTACACTTGGTGATGATGGCTAATTGATGTCAATAAGATTTGGCGTAAGACAATAAGACCAGTCTGCAAACTACAAAGCATGGCAATTTCAATGAGTTCTCGTTGGTGCTGGCTTGTTCAGCTGGTGCGGATTAGGCTGGGTGCGGTACTGATCTGGCTTGGTGTGGTGCAGATTTAGTGAAGCGCAATGCGGGTTTGGCTCAGTGATGGACGTAACGAACCACACGAGATATATGAGGAAAATTGAAAAACATTGCTGGAGCTTTGACGTTATGCAGTCAGCAGTGTGCTCTCGGGTCTAAATGAGTGTGCGGCAGTCGGTAATTTTTGGGTTCAGTGCAATTTTTTCTTTTTTACCCAGCCTGCTTTGGTGCTGATTTTCCTGCTCTGTTTGAAGGGTTGGTGCAGATTTTGAACTTGGGCTGGTGCGCCTCATCAACATGCAAGCCACCTTTGCATTATGGGTCCCTGCAATACCAAATTATTACTGCAAATTATTGACTGGTGAGTGGTGGTCCTGCTATGGGCGCAAAATGACCTTCGCAGTCGGCACGCCCTAAAGCCCCAATAAACAACAAATACTAGTGATCCCGGATAATTATCACTCATTTTCCAGATGTCAAACCCAGGGCTGAAGGTCTTCAGATAGCTCCAAGACAGCTCAAACTCAAACTGAGAAATTAATGAAATCCAAATCATTGAATTGAACTGAACATCTTTCGCGATACACAAATAAAGCCTGCAAATTAAGGTGCTCTGTTCTAGTGATAAAAAGAAACTTGAAGCAGAGTAAGCAATCTTACTTTGGTGATGCACCCCAAAAAACTAATGAAGCGGGCGTTATCCAAATAATATAAATAATAAATATTAAATTATCTCGTCACATATCTCACAAATAATAAAGGATAGCTCACGCAGGGTAAACTTTGCATGTTAGAAAGAATATGGTAGCAATAAAAATAATATTTCTTTTCCAAAAGGAAAACCATTTGCAAATAAACATTCTTTATAACTATGATTTTCCCAATTTGCTCTACTTTTTGTTTTCTTTTTATTAGAATAATTCAACCTCAAAGACCTCAATTTAGCTTTCACAAAAAAAAGTTTTTAAATAAAAATATTTAAAGTCAAGTTCACACTTAGCATGATAACGTTTATCCCCTCGTAAGGTGCTACCAGATAATCGAATATGGCGCAGCTGTGTGCAAATATGCGCACACAAATTTCGCCCCGTTCATTTTTTTCAACGCTTGTGTTTCGCCGTTGTAGGGTGCTGGGGCTGGGTGCAGGCGGTGCTTAATTTGTTAATATTATCGGCAGTGGAGCTTAACACTTACTAAGCTAACAAGGCTTACAATTACCTTGCTTTAGTATCATGATTAGACATGTCAAGTGGAGACCACCAAACCTCTGAGGGCCGCGCATCAGCATCAGCATTCCATGGACTTTTTGGTGACTCTGACTCCGAGTCCGACTCTGTCTTTGAATATCTTCTCCCACATCCTCCAGCTCCTACTCTTGATGTCGCTTTAAGTACCTACATATTTTGAAAGTAAAGTCCACACCGGAAATATGTATCGGTGCATTTATTTTTTAGCTTGCCTGAAACAATCCATTGTGGTTTGCATGCGCACAGGCCTTACATTGCAAAGGTACCGAACTACCTTCTAAATAGCATGCAGAACTAAAAGCAGATGCTGTCTTCTGCTTTTTTACTGAAAACGCTTGATCAAAACAGGATATGGTCTCGGATTTGGCGAAAGTCACCCCAACCCGGATATCTAGTTTGGCTGATCTGCTGTTTATGGCTGCTATGAATAT